GAGGAGCCTCCCTGGCACAGGCCGGGGCACAGGGCCGTGCTGCATGAATTGCATGGAAACCATTTGTAGCAAACCATTTGTTAGCCCAGGATTCTGACACTCGTGCTATGCATGCTGACAAATATGAATAAGAATCCTTTAAAAGGGCAGAGCACCCCAGGAGTCAGGATACAAGCAGTTCAAACTAAAATATTTCCAGTGTGAAGATGATAAGGTAACGTCCAGATGAAACCAGAAGGGAAAGAAAAGCAAACCTGAGGAAAATCCACTTTCTGAGCCAAATGACCGAAAAGCAAGGGGTGGCAGAAAGACCACCTCCATCACTTTGGAAATTATTCTGATTTTTTAAAATCCTCAATGGAAAAATGATAATAGTTATTAATTATATATCAGCTCCACTGTAATTAGAGAGTTTCAATTCAGAAGAGAGGGTAATTGTAATTTTGGGTTGCTTTGTGCAGTGAAATAGCATTAGAATATAATACATTAGTTTACTATGTAAATTTACAATCGGTTCCTTTTATAAAGAACAAAACTCATACATTTTCACACCACTTGAATTAAGCAGTCAAATGTAAATGCACATTATTTTCCTCACTGTTTATTCAATGCACTCATTTTTTAGCATAGAAATTAATGTTAAATAAAAAGATAAAGGGAGGAGAAAGAGATGCAACTTCAAGTACCTCTGCTTGTATGTGTTATAGCCCTTAAATAGGAGGAACCAAATATCAGCGGTTTCGTGCTGATGGACTCAGCCTCCCTGATCGCTTCTTTCTTTTAACACAGCTAAATGAAGAGTATTGTTTAGCACATTATATAAGAACAACATAAATACCACACGTATACTTATATGTATGAACATTTTATTAAAGGGAAAAAAATCTTTACTTTGACTACTTTTGTGTGACTTTTTCCTAGTTAATATCAAAACTGTCCTAAACTACTTCTAGACCTTGATTATGTCCTTATAGCCATATGTGTTCAGTAGAGCTAACCACCAAGTTGATAGCCTTCCTATTTAAATCATTTGGATGTTTATGAGTTTATGTTGCCTTTCTACTGAATTTGAAGAAATATCTGTTCCACTACACCAGAATCCTAAAGTTTTCCAGACCTGTTTTATGACAGAGCTTTCATTTCCTATCAACTTTAGCTATACACTAATTGTAGGATCCAAATCAGCTCTCATCTGCTTGGTATTCAGCAACTGGCTGTGGGAATTGCACTGTATTGAGTGTGGCAGTATATTGGGACATAATGTTTGTTCAGTATCAGGTGTGCTCTGAAGAAGCTAGCAGCACGGCTATTGAACTGTCAGTACCTATTGTCTTATGGCATTATACAAATCATTTCATGAGATCTATATTATAAAGTGAGGAACAAAAAGAATTATTTCCATAATCCTGGAAATGCATAAGCACAGGATAATAACTAGAACTAGATGCCAGTTGGATGGTGTGTTACACTCCATTGATTTTTTTTCCCTCTTTATATCCAATTACCTTATCATGAATAGATTGTACTAGGCCTTGCACTCACAAAACCTGCAGCAAAAATTAAACATTGTCCTCAGTGCCAAGCTAGACCTCATTTTCAGTTCCTTTGTAGCAGGATTTTATATTTCTGAGTGTGGTTAGCATTAATTCTCTGGAAAGCAGTCCATCTCTAAACCTCAATGCCATGTGCATTGTAAGTTAGACAGACAGCTCCCTTATTGGCGAGCAAGGGTACTCTGAAATACAGCATTATCATATTTAAATCATTCTAGCAATACAGCCTGAGATAATTTGTTTGAATCTGAAGTACTGGTCTTCATTACTTGGGGGTTTGGGTAATGTGTATGACGAGCACCATCTACATCATATTCTGGGTAAGCTCAGCAAATGTGGCATGCAACTTTGCTTAATTTACACATGAACTTTGCAGCTTCTAAATGAGGAAGAACAGAAGACGGTTGTGTGGAGCTATTTTCATGCCCAACAGAGGTCTGTTCCCACCTCACCTTCTAAAGACCACTACTGATTCCATTATAGAGTGAAAAGGCTACGGGGCCACTTTCAAAC